TTGGGTTCTGATTTAGGGCTTTATTTAAGTTAGTTTAATTTAATTCACAATGAGAACCGCATGGCTCACATTTGACACTATTCGAGCTCATGTTTTCATTTGGCTAGCAGGTTTTAAGTAATATTAATCATCTCCCACATCTTCGTTGTTCATGTTCTTTAGATCTTTGGTGAACCAGATGACCCTCACACCTACAACACTCTTTCCATGTTCTCCAAATCTCCACAACATAATTGTAGGTGTTCTTGTTCCAGATTTTTCACCATGGTTACCAACTATCTTTGATATTCCCCATTTTCTGGGTGTTTTAGTCATAAGATGGTTGTGGTCATCAGTGAGATAGGCAAGAAAGGGGGCATAGAGCGATAAAGGAGGGGTCATTCATCAAATGTTTACTCGGTCACTTAATGGGTTGAGGAAGGCAAGAACTGAGAATATTATCAATAGGAGACATGACTATAATCGAAGTTCTTACCCAGTAAGTGAGTGAGACGAAACTTGTAGGGATGGTGATTTGCCCCAACCCGATGGGGAACCTGGTTCACTCGATGCGAACAGGGACGGAGAGTCCCTGCTAAAACGGGTCCAGGGGCCGGGGATCCCCGGTAGAGGAAAACCGGGGTTGGGTCCGGGGCCGGGTATTGGATCCCCCGCCCCGCCCCGTACCCGATATGTTAAAATTAGGTTATTTGGGCTTTAGGCTTGGAAGTGATGGACCTATTGGACTACTCACTATCGGACAGTGGACTTCATTAGTTCATCTCATTTGCATCATCATTGCATCCAATATTCCAATAATCAAACCAACTACCAAGAGTCCAAGATAAGTAGAAGACCAGAAGAAGACCAAGTCACCAAGACAACGGCAGTGCGGCACGACGCAAGCAGGCAACAACCAAGCAATAGTGCAATACCGATTAGGATTTAGGCGATTTAGATTACCGCATCAGTGCATCACCCCAACACCGCTGTCCGTTGGAATATTAAATGCGATTGATCGAACGCTCAACAAGAACAACAGATTCAACAAGCACAACATCGAGCTGTGAGTTCCTAACTTTTTCCTGTGAGTTCCTAACCTACTCAGTTCCTAACTTTTTCCCGTCTAGATCATGTAATTTTTAATTTAGTCATCATCTTCAATCTTCATCTTTCCCTTGAATCTTAGTATTTATGTAAATTTCTAGGTCATGTAATTTTCTATATGGTGTGGACAGTTCACAATTGGTTGTTTTGTTTAGAGTAGGGATGGTGATCACTATTTTAATTTTTCTAGTTTAGAGTCTTTGTAACTGCTATTCCATGCAGCATTACATACACAATATATGTAACACAATACACTTGATACTTTGATATTGCTATTTCTTTTCTTTCTTTAATGGTATGCTTAGGGATGGTGAATCTTACTATTTTGATACTTTGAATCTTACTGTTTTGATACTTTCAATTAATAGGTAGAATCAGTTATAGTTTAAACTTGAAACCAAGAACACCAAAGTAATGGTGCACCACCAATAACACCAATTTCATAACAAAAAACACATTCTAAGAGTCTTTTTATCAAAGGGATGGTGCACCACCAAGAACAATCACATATCCAATTCAAATAACCATTAATTTATAAAAGGAAACAAAGTAATCACTATTTCTTTTCTTTCTTTAATGGTATGCTTAGGGATGGTGAATCTTACTGTTTTGATACTTTGAAATATGAATCTTACCATTTTGACACTTTGAATAAAAAATGGAAAGAATTATAGTTTAAACTTGAAACTACAGCTATTATTTGGCTTACCATTTTGAGTCCTAATAACATTATCTATAGATAAATCTCTTATTTGGCTTACTATTTTGAGTCCACGCCAGAGTTGGACATCCTTTGCTTATATAATTTATTTCTCTCTTTTAGCGTAGTTATATATATGATATATGATACACAATTATTTTAACTAGATTTCCTACTTTCCAAGTTACCTACTAGTATTTATGGCTAAATTTCAGTTTTTTCTCAAAAATGAAAAATTCACAAAACAAGGCAATGGAAGAAAACGATATAGATCATACGCCTTGTAATGACACCAACGAATCTGTAAGCATGCCTATAGGGTCAAATATTATCCCTGAGACTGAAGTCACTGAACCATCAAACAAAAGATTGAAATATGTTGTCTGGAACCATTTTGAAGCAATATATATTGATGGTCTTCGTCGATTTGCAAAATGTAAGTATTGCAATAAACATATGACTGGTAGACCCAATGATGGGAAGACACATTTGAAAGATCACTTCAATATGTCCTAGGAGAGTTACGAACGACATAAGGCAACATATTCTAGTTCAAGGGCAGACCGTTAAGGATGGGAAAACTTCTTCGTTGAGTAATTATGACTTTAGTCCTGAAAGCTCAAGGGATGATTTAGCTAAGGTGATCATTCTTCATGATTATCCACTTTCTATTGTTGAGCATCATGGCTTTTGAAAGTTTTCAAATGGTCTTCAACCTTTATTTAAGGTGCCTTGTAGAGCTACAATCAAGTCCGACATCATGAAGATATACGAAACAAAAAAAGGTAGTATATTGCGATGTTTGGAAGAAAACAAAAGTAGGATTGCTCTTACTTCAGATATATGGACAACCGGTAACCAAAACAAAGGTTATATGGCACTAACAGCACACTACATAGATGCCGATTGGAATTTACAAAATCGGATTATCAGGTTATTTCTCATTTTAGTATTCTGTAAATCTTTATAATTCAATGTTAATATTCTCATTTTAATATATTCTTTGAATCTGTGATGCAGCTTTTTACATGTGCCATCTCCACACACTGCTGATACATTGTCCCAAGTTATGATTGAGTGCTTTATGGATTGGAACATTGACAACAAGTTCTCAACATTGACACTTGACAATTGTTCAACAAATGATGCTTTAGTTGACAAGCTCTTAGGTACTCTCACTCCTTCCTCCTTAGTTTTAAAGGGTAAGCTATTTCACATGAGATGTCGTGCGTATATTATTAATCTCATTGTGCAAGATGGGTTTTTCTGTGATTGAGAAAGCAATAAAAAATGTTAGGGATAGTGTCTCATTTTGGGCATGTTCTCCTAAAAGAGCCTAAGACTTTAGACTTGTTGCACGACAAATAGGTGTAGATTGTGAAAAAGAATTAGTGCTTAATTGCAAGACTAGATGGAATTCTGTTTATATAATGTTGAATGTTGCCTTAGAATATAAAAATGTTTTTACTCGTTTGAGCAAGAAAGAGAAACATTATGTTTCTTTACCTAGTGAAGAGGAATGGAAAATGGCAACTGATGTGTGTGATAAGTTAGGTTTGTTTTATCGTGTGACTGAGACATTCTCCGGGACCAAGTATCCCACTTCCAACATGTTCTTCCCCTTGATCTGTGACATGAAAGTATCTATTAAGAGTTGGCAAGACGATCAAAATGACGTTATTAGGAACATGTCATCAAGTATGTTGCTTAAATTTGATAAATATTGGGGAGTCATACATGATGTGATGAGTGTGGGTATTGTTCTAGATCCTAGGTATAAGTTAAAGTTGATCAATTATTTCTTTCCAAAGATTTATGGTGTGGACTCAAAAGATAAGGTTATAAGGATACGTACTCTATGTAATTATTTATTTGAGGAGTACAAAAAGAAACATGATCACAATAAAAGGAAAGGACAAAGTGGCACTATTGTCTTAAATGAGGGGAAATCTTATTCAAACAAGGCCTCATGGCAATTGGATTTTGAGAATATGATCTCTAAGGATGAAATATTTGAAATGACAGAGTTGAATGATTATTTGTCAGAAAAACTGTTACCGCAGGGTGAAGGATTTGATATATTAATGTGGTGGAAGTGCAATGGTGCTAAGTTTCCTATCATGCAGAGGATTGCGAGGGATGTGTTGGCCATTCATATTTCTACAGTAGCTTAAGAATAAGCTTTTAGCATGAGCGGAAACAAGGTAATGAAACAACGAAGTCGACTAAAATCGCAAACAGTTGAAGCATTGATGTGCAGCCAAAGTTGGTTAAGAAAAGAAATTGAAGGTAATAATTATTTAAATTGTTTGTTATAATAATTGTATAAATTGTCATATACAATTTTTTGACTTGCATTATTTTTATTTCAGATAAAAAAACACGGAGACCCAAAAGGATTTGATCAAACGATTGCATACGATGAGGATGTTAATTGTTGAGGGACTAAATGACTAGAATTATGTGTTGCTTGGAAAAAACTTGTTTTGAATTTTACATCTCATTAGATTCTTGTTAATTTTACAATATTATTATTTTTATCAGGCAAGACTAGATACGATGTAAGGATGAGGATGTTGCTTGGAAAAAACCTATTGATTATGCATTTTACCGGATCTTACCGGGTTTGTTAACCGGGAGTTGACCGGAATTTTACCGGGGCGAGGAAGTTAATCCCCATACCACCAGGGACCGGGACCGGGACCGGGGCCGGGGCCGGAGATTGCAAAACCCACCCCGTTGCCATGCCTAGACACTTGTTACGTTAACACTTATCGAATAAGAGATGTCTCCATACAATCCATTTTAATATTCGAGATCTTATATTAGAAGATAAGTGAAAGTCTGAACTTGGTAAACACCCCTTAATCGAAAAGACGATTTTCAGTATAACCACAAGACCAAAATTCGAATAAAAAGAAGATGTATAACACCCAGGATTACCAAAAAGGCAAAAATAGGCAGCATACTGGCCATGGAGAGACAAAAAGAGCAACGTGTCATCATCACAAAAAAACCCATCCCTTTTTTCGTCATTTTCGACTAAAACACGCTTTTGCACCCTATCCTTACTTGTACCGTACAAGTAAATAATGCATATCAAACTCCATTACCAGTTTACCACCACAATCATTCTCTCCCTGCAACTTCACTCGCCCACGCACATTTTCTTCATTTTTCACACACATAATCTCCATCTTTCTGCAATTTCACCTACTTTCTATTGATAATGGGGAGCAGAATCCCCTCACACCAGCTCAGTAATGGACTCTACGTTTCGGGTCGACCGGAGCAGCTCAAGGACCGCCAACCCACAATTGGGTCACGAGCAATACCCTACACCGGCGGCGATGTCAACAAGTCCGGCGAGCTCGGGAAAATGTTCGACATACCAGTTGCAGAACACCCCCCTCCGGTACTCAAGCCTCATCGAGCTTCATCTTCATCTCAACAAAGCAGTGGATCCCTTAGATCCGGCCCTGTTTCTAAGAGAGCTTCCGGGTCTGGTCCGATAGTGGCTCTCCAGCCAACCGGTTTAATCACATCCGGACAGCTTGAATTGAGCGGCGGACGGAGGTCGGGTCAGCTGGAACCGACGGCGGCTGCAATTTCGTCAGGGAAGACTGTATACGGCTCTTCTGTGACGACGTTAGGGTATGACGACGTGAGGTTAGGGTTTAGGAAGTTAATGTGGGTGTTGTTGGTGATGGCCGTGATGGGTTTGATGGTAGGGGCGTTTTTAACGGTGGCGGTGAAGAAGCCGGTGATTCTTGTGGCGGCGGCGGCGGTTTTAGTTCCGGCAATGATATTGATACTGTGGAACTGTGTTTGGAAGAAGAGAGGATTGTTAGCCTTTTTCCGAAAATACCCCAACGCTGAGCTAAGAGGCGCCATTGATGGTCAATTCGTCAAGGTCACAGGGGTAATTCTCTCTTCATACATATACACATACCATACATAGAAGTACAACCGTTTATCGCACAAATATCTTTACATTGATATTAAGTAAAAATCCAAGTACTTGTCCTTGTAGATCAATGTATCTCAAGTGCTGAGATTTTGCTTCAATTGCAATATGATTGATTCTCTGGAATATTCACTGAAGCACTGAGATTGGGATGTTGGGTTAGTTTCGCAGAGTTAGGTTCTCACGAGAATGATACCTATTTAAGAAAATAAGAATGGCCAAATTACTTACAAATTCACATGTGATCTTACATTAATGCCGAAAAAAGTGTGCGGGCAACCCTATGGCCGCATGGCAAGGTCGCTTGAATCTAATGTGATTTTGTACTTAATCTTAGTGTAAAATCACTTGTGATTCAATCATTCTTGTATTTTCTTAAATAAGTATCATTCTCATATGAACCCGACTCTAGTTTGGTAATCTTAATGGTTATATATTTTCTCATTAGGGGTGTAAGCAAACAGATATCTTATTTGCAACCACTTTTATCGGATACGTCTTATCTTTGGGGTGCAGATTGTGACTTGTGGTAGCATTCCTCTTGAATCATCTTTTCAAAAAGTAGCGAGGTGTGTCTATGTTTCCACAGACTTGTACGAATACAACGGATTTGGGGGGAAATCGTCCAATGCTAAGCACCGTTGCTTCTCCTGGGGGTGCACCAATTCCGAGGTTCGTTCAATGACATACATTTTGTTCATAATGTTCTTTTTCCTTCTCAAACTGTAAAATTAACATCAACTTTAATCGTCACAAGGTGGCAATCTCTTGTTTGCTATTTAGTCATTTCTTGACCAAACCAAACGAACCCAGTTGTATATTTTCACATAGATCTCGCAGAAGATAGAGGCATAGTCATTTCTTGAGCAAGATATCTCTATAATCAGCCAAATGTAGTTGAGGTCATATGATGAATGGAATACAACAGAAAAAGATATCTACACCTCAAAGTTAAAATGTCATCATATAATGAGAAAATAAAGGGATTTTTATGGAACACAATTAGTAGCACTTGTAAGTTGTATGTAAACCAAACGAACAGAGTAAATCCCACATGGAGTAGGGTCTGGGGAGGGTAAGATGTATACCAACGTTTCCTCTGAGTGGAGAGGTGGTCATAAAGACCCCCATCTACCCTTAAGTTTATGTAATAAAGACGATGTGCAGATAGGTAATTTCACTTAAAAAACTTGCCAAAAAGATGTTGCAATTTTTATCGGACTTTCTCGAGGCCGGAGGGAATACTTGTTTTTGAAAAAAGCTACCCCCCAACCCTCCAAAAAAAATATCCGATGAACATTGAACAATTCTACGGGATGTCTCATAGAATTGCAATCTTTATTTACCTATTTTTGGTCACTTGTACCACGCTTGGTCCAAAACTTTGTCATTGTTCAAGGGTATTTTAGACGTTTGACTGATAGTCACAACGTTTTTGGCTTATACATTGTATATTTTTCGTATATATTAACTGCAACCCTTTTGATCTCTTTTCTTTACCAGAAATATGTGGCTGATTTTTACATATCGGACTTCCAATCGGGGTTAAGGGCTCTGGTGAAAGCTGGATATGGAGCTAAAGTAGCTCCGTTTGTTAAAGAAACAACGGTTGTAGATATAAGCAAAGAAAACCGAGAGCTATCTCCAACTTTTCTTCGCTGGCTTGCAGACCGCAGCCTTTCAAGTGATGATCGTGTTATGCGCCTCAAAGAAGGGTAAGAAGCTAATTCTTTCAAAATTTCAGATTTTTCATTCATGACTCACAATTTCAAACTGAAATTACATAGTTGCCCCTCACCATCGGCCATAGATGATGTCGTTTTTGGTCGGCAAGATTCAACTTCTGGAATTATTGAAGGGCATCCTAGGATTACGAAATTTAATAGATTTCAATTTTCTATAGGAAGTCTTTGTTTTGATATCATAAGTGTTCCTTTTTGCTGCCTGATTGGATACCTCAAAGATTCCATTATCTCAACGTTATTGAAGGGTATTTTGGACATTTGATCAACGACCATACACATCTTCTAAACAACTAGTTTGTATGAAGTAGCATTTTTGTTTGAAAACAGTAAATTTTATGCTTTAATGGCTTAAACTTTATAATCCATAGAGATAAAATGACACATAAAATAGGGATATTGCATAAAACTGCAATGTACTTTGTCTGAACCAAATTACGTTGTATTTTCATCCATTTTGTCTGAGATGTCACATCTGAGGTATCAAAATGGAAGTTTTGAAAGTACGTTACATTAATTAGGAATCAGACCAATTATATTTTTCAATGTGATTAGCCCCATAAAAAAATACATTAAGATATTATCTTTTAGGTGTCTTGTTCTCTATAAAATGATCCTATATGAGGTGTGTATGACACAGGTACATCAAAGAGGGTAGTACTGTTAGCGTGATGGGTGTTGTCAGGCGGCACGAGAATGTGCTCATGATCGTTCCACCAACTGAGCCCATGTCAACTGGCTGCCGGTGGGGTTGTGGTCTTCTCCCAACCTATGTCGAAGGCCTCGTTTTAACTTGCGACGAAAATCAAAACGCTGATGTCATACCCGTGTAGATTATATGCCGATCGATCATCAAATTGCTGCAACGCCCTCACATCCGGCGACAATTCTGTCCACAGGTTTGCGGACTATTTATGTATAGAAGTTGCCGATGTACCGTAGTGCATTGCAGTCGTCCTTGAGTCGACAAATGGGCGTAAGGGTATTTTGGGTATTTCCTTGTTTCGATAACTCGAATAGGTATGTAAATGATGCCTAAAGGTTTGAGTTGCACACTTGTGCTAGATGTAGATTGCAATATGGGTATTTCTGCATTAAAAATTGTATGATATATACATGTATCTCGATGCATTGATAGCTATAAGAAGAGGCGGATTCAGGGATTTTGGTAATAGGGCCTAAAGTTGTAGTTTTTAAATTTGAGGGTCAAATTTGTAATATAAAAAGATCAAATTTCTACCCGTACCCGACCCTAATGGTTAAGAGCTACTATTTTCTATGCATCATGTATAAGTTTGAAGTTAAACACCTCCCATAAAACTTCCACGTTTCAAAAACAATATTAAAATCAAATTATTTTTAATTTTTAAGTTGCATTTTATATTTTTATAGTAAGTTATTTAATTTACTTTATATCTTTTTCTTTTTTATTTTACACCATTATCATACATTATCGTATATTGATTAAAATATATAAACAAAAATACGTTTCACTTTTTATAAATTATATTATTATAATCGTTTCATTAATGCCTTCAAAATGATCTTAATATTAAATATTTTTCGATTTAATTATATTATTAAATAACATTAAAAACGTAGTAAATTATTTTTAAAACTTCCATTTTATACCTTACGGTTATGTATTTAATTTGTTTTATATTTCTTATTTTTTTATTTTTATTTTACATTCTTAATTTATGAATTTAAAGCTGAAGAACCCACAACTTTAAATCTCCATATTTCAAGATAATATTAAAGATCAAATGTTTTTTTATTTTTAAATTACAATTTATATTATTATAATTAGTTATATAATTTGTTGCATAGCACTTTTTTTTTTTTACATTTTTATTATATAAACATAAATAATTGTGTATAAACTAAAATTATTAAAAAAATACATTTTTTACAAATTATAAATTATAATTGTCTCATCAACATCTTCAAAATGATCAATATAGAATATTTTAAATTTTATCATATTACTAAATATCATTAATATGTAATGAGTTATTTTTAAACTTGTATTTAATTTGTTTTATAATTTACACCCTTATCTATCTATTTTATATTAAAAAAAATGTTAAACGGTTATTATTGAATTTTTAAGAGGTATAAATCTTGATTCATTATGTACATTTTTTTAATATTTACAATTCCCACGTTCAACATGATAATTAAAAATAAAATTATTTTTTATATTTAAGTTACACGATACTTTTATAATTAGTTATATAATTTACTTTATATCCCTTCTTTCTCATTTTTCATTTTACGCCTTCTCATATTAACATATGTAACTATATATTAACAAAACATATATTTAAAAAAGGTTTTTTTTATATATATAAATTATACCATTATAATTGTGTCTTCAATACCTTTAAAGTAAACTCAATATCGAATATTATTGAATTTAATAATATTATTAAATATGATAAATACGTACTAATGTTTTTTAATATCTTAATTTTTTATTTTTCATTTTACATCCTTATCTATCTATACTATATTATTTATTAGTATTGTTGAATTTTAATCGTCATCTATGCATTATTTACAAGTTTCTAAAACCACACTCCATCATCCCCTTCTTTTCCGACTTCCCCTACAATTCTCTCCCCACTACCCTGAATTACTGTCCACGTTCCGCTGTCCATGAAACAATCGACTAAAATGAAAATTATACAACTCTCAGTTTTGGGATGAAATATGCCACCTAGATACAAATTTTGAAACCAAAAGAAGGAAAAAAGGACATCCATCCCCCTCCAACCTTTCTCTTCTGCCATGGAGATCACCCCATCCACCATTGTCACTAAACCATAATCATGCTTCGAAACAGCGGTCTTGAAAGTCCATCCCCACGCCCGGATCCACCAGACACATCCTCACGACACGCCTCTCTTCCAATCCACCTTCTCACGCAACCTCCGCCATTTCAGTATTTTAATTTTCGTCTTCCGTCTTGCCGTTTTTTCTTTCACTTTCACTACCACGATTTTCATGCTCACCACCAATACTTCCTCCTTATTCGGTTCCTCTCGCTGGTACGACTTCAGCACATTCCCATAAACTACTTCCTTTTGCTTTTAACAAATTAATTTAAAAAATTCATCAGAAAACATAACAAAAGTACACCTCAACAGCTTCGTTGTTGCTGCTCATGCAATTGTTGCTTTGTATTCATTCTTTGAAATAGGAGCTTCTGTTTGGGAAATTTCCAGAGGTTCCACCATTTTTCTAGAGTTTCCCAACTCTGATTCGATTTCGGCCATGGTCAGGTTCTCATTTTTCGCTTCAGTATCTTCTCGAGAATTTTCTTGTGTAGAATCAATGTTTGCATCTGTAAAATGCCAAATAGCTGAATCCAACGGCGTTTTCTACAGGTGTTTGCCAACTTGTTGCTGTCGGAGGGATCGACAGGGACATAGCTTTCCAGACAACTGAGAGGGATTCCCACGTGTACGACCAATAACTCGTTAAAAGACTTGCAAGTTCACACAACAGGAAATAGGCACGGGAATGGGTCCCGGCCCGTCGGAGTACCCGGTCCACCCACCCCGGTCGGGGATGAAAATTCTCCGCTAAACCGGGGATGGGGACAATGACAGGGATCCCCGTTTGTCTCAAACCAGGGATGGGGATGAGGACAGGTATCGTACTTCCTCCCCGCCCCATACCCGTTATATATATTAATTATATATATTTGTACATATATATATATATATATATATATGATTTATTTCAACTAAAGCGATAGTTCATAATTTCCTATTTCCTAACTAGGTTTATAATCTAAAGTTGTTATTTTTTGGATGTTAATATGTAATATTTTGAATGTCAAGTCAAAATACAATATATTACTCGATATGGTTTTATGTTACTCAATATCTTTTGGTACATGTGATTTTAAGTTTTTTTGGATTAAAATGAATTTTTTTGGTTTTAGGTTACTAATTCTTATATGATATTGTGGCTTTTTTGTATTAAATTAAATTCATTTTGGTTTTAGGTTTACTGAAAATGTTTGAGATTTAAACATGTATGGTCTCTCACATATTTAATCTAAAAATAACTTATATAAACGGGGAAAAAAATCCTCGTTTTCCCGTTGGGAATGAGGATGCGATTATATTCCCCACGGGGATGGGGACGGGGATAGAGATAAGTAATCGGGGACGGGGACTGGGATTGAGGTCCCCGCCCCATTCCCATGCCTAACAGAAAACAAGTTTGTTCTAATCAATGCAGATGAAGTTGGAAGAGTAAGTTCAAAATTCTTTCTTAAATTTCCTAAAATCTCAATTGGGTTACCTCTGCTTGTCCTAATTTTCTTCTCGGTTTTTCATTTTCTTTTATCTAGATTTATGTTTTTGTATAACTTAATTTCAGTCCTGGGTATCAAAATTTTGGTTTGAACATGGAAAGTTCAATCTTTTCTGTATTATTTTATATCATCCTTCATGTTATCGTTCTTGGATAAAGACTCATTTTCTAATTGTATTTTAGTCATGTATCAATTCAAACCACACGTTAAAAAAATACCGAAAAACACCTTTAATATTATTATAATCATAATAATAATAAAATAATAAATTTTTATTATTATATTTTTTTGTTATTAAAACACAGTTATTATAATATATAATTAATTTTTATAATCAATAGATAATTATTATTTGTAGTCTGTTAAATTACTAGTATCAAGTGTAGTTATCGAGATAATTTTGATGCACATATTTTTCTCTTTGATAATCTTGTAACTTTTTCCTTTAAAATCTTTTTACCGATTAACATCCATGTAAGAACATATCCTAATTCAATAGTTGTATTAATCTTTTGTTTCTGGTTACAACAAAATTTTACATTTGACTGTAACATATTCCAGAAACAGTGTTATTTATAACAGGCTCTTGTTGATTCTGATGATGTGGTGAGAAACCAATAAACTTTGCATACATCAAAACTGACACCAATGAAGTCCCAAACAGGAAAACTCTTGTAGGTTGAATTTTGATTATTTGCAGATTTTCTAGAACAAGCGGGAGAGAGGTTATTGGGCAGAAAGTATAGAGAAATGATTTCAATAGGTTTAACATCATGCATTGGCCAATATGGCATCATAAAGTCGCACTTTCTACATTTAATACTCGCTCATTAGTTATTTTTCATTTTAAAGACGGTGTATGTTAAACAGGCTAATCCGACATTTTGTAGATGCAATAAATTGCTTAAACTCGTAGAGTAATTTCAATATTCAACACATCATGTCTTTTTATATAGTTCTATTTCAATAAGTTCGTCTTATAGTTTTTTCTTGTTTAAAAAGTATAATACTATGATATTTTTAATGATTACAAATACCATTGATCTTTCAAAGATGAGATGAAGACTGAAGTTGTCAAAACAATGTCATCAAATTCTTTTGAGATTTAAAAATGAATTGTTTATTCAAAAAAAACCCACCCTGTTTGGTGGATGATTTTTATAGGTTTCAACCTTTATAATTATCACCAAAGAGCCTTTGGCTTAGCGGTATGTGAGTCATTGACCTTCTAGGAGGTTAAGGGTATTATATACTAAAAAAAAAACTCTTCATATTTATCATTTAGTTATCAAAATATCATTTTATTTGCAAACAACGCCATACTTTAAAGGGTAGAATATTTTATAAATAATTAATTAATTTTTTATTTACAAGAAARTTTTATATTTAGCTGCAWTGYARYGRGTACAAAACTAGTATATATATATATATATATATATATATAGGACGTTTCAAATGCAACCCATCACATTTGTACAACTAATGCAACTCAATCAATTGAAATATTTATGGAAATGATAAGAATTCATTTATTATGATTTGAATATTTATGGAAGATGACTAGGGTTTATTAATTATGATCAATACTTTATATTAGAAAACAATTAAAATTTCTATGAAATCACATATTCATCAAATTAAATGAACGGTTGAGATTGAGTTGTATTGGTTGTACAAATGTAAATGGTTGCATAATAACTCACTTCTCTCTCTCTCTCTATATATATATAAATATATATTGTATGCATACATTTATTACTAAATATAAATATATTTAATTTTCAATATTAGTAATAAGTGTAGCTACGATTTATTATAATTTTGATTTTAAGAAACATTGTTTATATTGTTTTTTACTAAACGAGTTCCATCTGGTTCTCCGAGTGTGTCGGGGATTCTCTTTTTCGA